GCGTACCGAGCGAAAATTCAAAGTCGATTTTCTCGTAAACAAAGCCTCGAACGAAAAATTTTTATTCTATATTTTATTCTATATTCTATATTTTATTCTATATTATCATCCCCCTTCCGCTTGTACCAACAGTTACCAACCACCCTGTATAATTATTACAGTTTAATCACGCGGAATTATTACAGAAAGGAATACAGAGTTATATCTTATATACCTTATATATATTATAGTCGCCCTTTACATGTCATTTGAACCTTTCAGATATCTCAGTACCCATTTTAAATTTTGTCAAAGTTCTTTGTTACTCGTATTCATATATCTGCTTTAAATATTTACTGCTGTACTTAAATCAAGTGGTGTGCATATCGTTATATATGTTAATAATAATATATGTACTAACAGAAGAGATATACTAACAGCTCTACTATCGTGCATATTAAATTTCTCCAAAGCTGTCTTTATGTAAGCACTTTGATCTAAAGTAATTTTCTTGTTACTGTTTACAACCTTTAAATAAAAGAAAAAAATTAAAAGAAAAAATATAATGCCTTAAAAAATTTCAAATATAATAAATTCTTTGTAATGGAAAAGCCAAGATTCAAATTTGTATTTAGTTTGTACATACAGATATAGTGTTTGTAAACAAACATTTAAGACAATTTGTTAACATTTACTTGGAAAAACGATTAGAAATATGCTATTTTTAATACGTTGCTAAGACAAATGGATTCTTTACAAAATAATTTACATGATCTCATTCGTCGTTAAAAAATACTAAGTTCATCAATTTACACAATCATTCTATTTGTAGTAGTTTCCGAGTTTCGTCGAAACAAATTTTTCAGCCCCAACTTTGGCAATGGTTTTCATCTCTTTTAACATGGACGTTTGACGATAGAAAAGAAATACGTGTCAAATATTTTTATAAGAACTACATGGTACATAAATCTCGTCAAGATCGACGATTGACGCTTCGGTATGTTTCCTTGGAAGACCGAGCGACGATACACGCAAAGGAAAAAGTTGTTCAAAATGTTGATTCCTACGACATATTAAAAAAATCATCGAAATCCAAGATGACGACAGTTTTCTAAATAATAGCCCAATTTACTATTATTTATTTCATCTTCTTGCGACAAATGAATATACATAAATCTAATTATAATTATGAATTTTTGGAAACAACAAAAATTCATAAAGGCCAGGATTTTCAAGCGTTTCACTTCTCTGCATATGCGTATAAATCAGCATCTGTTTGTGAAATAACCGTGAAATTAGTTGAAATGAAAAATATGTACTCGAAAGCGATAATCAAATTTCGAATGGCGTGTAACAATTAAAATATCGATCGTATGAAACAATATGAAATTCCCTGCCTGGTCGGCAAGAACATGTAATGATACGTTATCTCTATTCTAAATGACGATAAACGAAGATAATATTATACGTTTTCGAAAAGAGAGACATTAATCATTGCGAAGGAAAAGATTTATCGATTAAAGAATACGAACTCCAGACTTCTGAACTGTATGAAATTACGTAAGAATTAACATTTCTATTCATGACGACTACTGTTCTCTGTTAACTGTTCTCTAAAATTTGAAATAACTAATAGCAAAATTTCTGAAATAACCATGTTCCAAAAATGATATATTTCGATTAAATGGCACGGAACAGAGGCAATACGTAAATTTTACGCGAGAATGGCTATTTTATCGCGACAGTTGCAAGTCTCCCAGTATCATAACGCAATAGATAAAATGCAAGCTTCTATTTATGTTTATTCAAATATATTCGTATCTTCAACGTACAGATACCAATTTTTAAACAAAAATAACTTTCTGTTCTGTCTACGTAAAATGATAAATATACAAAAATGTAGTAATATATTTTGCATGTAAAAAAAATTCAAAGAATTTTTAATTATGAGTTATAACGCTTACATACATGTGTATTACATAAAGCATTCGCTTATATTTAGAAAAAATCCTTGAGTCGACAATCTTGCAATTACGTATTTTACAATACTTGATAGCATATTGGGAAATCATGATTTAGTATTTTATATAGAATACTATTATTCCAGGAGTATTAGACTACATATGCGTATTTAACAAGAAATATAATTCTCGGTTTTTAATTAAAAAATTCTATCTACTAGGAAGTATATTATACACAACTTGTCCAAACTATGTAATATTTATTTAAATAATTTTTTCCTTCAACAAATATATTGCTGGATTAATCGCGCAGCATATGCATGCATATGTAACTACATATTTACGCGTATAATATTTTATTCAATGGAGAAAGCAAAACCGATCGACAAATAGAAATATGTAGTTGCCTACGGTCAGTGCACTATTCGCAACGCGTGTTGCGAGTTTTCAGGGACGTGTGTTGCCGCACTGGCCCGGAAAATGTAGCGCATTGCGACAAATTTATATTCCCCGCTACAACGGGACAGAAATCGCGTGCCGCGAGATTTCTTGTTTTTAATATCAACTTGATCATAATTTTCAACACGTGAGACTATCCGTAATGGACGCTTAATTTCGACTAAGTTTTATTACCTAAAATTATTCCAATAATATCAATTACCTTTTTATATTAACTATTTAATTAAAATTATTCAAAAACTAAATCTATCCATCATATAAAAATTTGTTTAAATAATTATGTAGCTAACTGGCTTACTTGTCCTCGATAATCTCTATAATAATTAAACATGTAATACGTTTACGGAAATAGATTAACAAAATACAGCACGTCCTCGGAAAATCCATCTAATTCCGAATTCGTTAATGTTTTGTATCAGTCGAGGCAATGAAGAAATTAAGGATGAACGACAGAAACGTGTCTAATAGTTGCTTCCGGTTGCCATAAATAAAAAGTCCTCGAAAAAAATCCCTACAAGCCAGTATCAATTGTCCATTCGTCGGGCGTATTTGTCCGTACGGCCCTGAACGTTTCTCCTCGCAAGTACACGTGTACGCACGCGAAGCGCGCGTATAAATACACAGGAGCGATGTCGGTTTATTTATACGCAAGGGTGCCCATTGCCTCCCCCCCCCCAATGCTCTCTTCAACGCTTGATGTCGAACAACGCACAGAAAACTATGCATGTACCACGTTTTGTTTCTTTCCTACGATAAATTCATTGTCATGGCGACAAAGATATAACAGCGATGGCTCGAAGGAATGACACACGCTGGCTTATAGCCGGCTTCAGTGATCGACATGCTTTGATAATCGTGCCGCGAGAAGTGCGGATTTTCGTACACGCGCTTACTCGCACGAACCAGGTTTCAAGATCGCGCTCTCAACATCACTCGAATATCGTTAAATTACGCCTCGCAACTACTACATTGTGAATTTAACAACAATTGTATCAGATGTTCATAAAGTTGCATTATATTTTTAAGATCATAATTACTATAAAAGTATTTTAATACTAGAACTACTAGACTAGTCAAAATAATCGATTCGCAATTTTTCATAAAAATTTTGAATTTTGAAACAATTTAATAATTTTTTGTAAAATATATAGATGGAGCTCGATTTTCTGCTTATATTATATATTTGTCATCTTTCATTTTGATTTCTTTCATACAAGCTTTGTATTTTAGTCGTTAGTAAGTAGATCTAGTGCTAATACAGTAGAAAGAAACAATCGTTAACGATTACGTAATTGATTATATCACGATATATAGTACGAAAATCAATAAATAGAAAAAAGAAATACAATTCAGTGAAGCTCGAACCTAACCTCTAAAAAAATAATATCTTTTAAATATCTTGAAAACATGCAAACAGTATAATGCATGCAGTTTGGTCCATTTTGTTCGCAGAGTATGCAGAAGCATGTTCCAGCACGAAATATGTATTGCGCGCTGACGCAGCTGCGCTTCCCTTCTTTGATTTACCCCCACCATTTTGTCTGTCTATTTCTTTTCTGCAGCAAAAAGTTACTCGCCAACCGCTGATGCGCTATTCTTAATTTCAACAAGCGAGTAAATATTGAGAAGTTTATCAAGATCTTGCGCTTTCCTAATAACGCATTCCTAATAAAACGATTTAATCTTTCCAGCTTCCGTCGATGCGTATCTTTTTAATTGTAATAATTCATTATCGTTCAGACATGTGCTTAGCAAACGCAATACAAAGACTTAGATATCTGTTAGACTAGGCTAAAACGTATTATCTAATATGTGCGCGATAACTGAAATAGATGGTAGCGATAATTACAATGAAACATCTAAAATGAAGTAACGAAAAATTCCTGTAGGTATAATATTCTCGCCAATACATTAGCGCGTTCACACAAAAATCATTTGTACTGTAACAAATTATAGATAACAAATAGTCGATGAAACTCCATTCATAGCAAAAGAGTAATTTCCCGCCAATTCTTCGCGTATTAACATGGGGACGGATCGAATAGCGTTGCAAAGCGTGTGCGCGACGCGCTTCGTTACTGCTATTACATCGCACTCAGCCTCATTTCATTTATTTCGATAAATTTATTTCCAACTAACATTTCCACCGCAGAGTTTCCTTCAAAAGCATAAAAAATGCACGTTCGGCTGAATTCCACACGTGATGCCAATTAACGTTTCCAAACATGTAATTCGTTTACAACAGACAATTAAAATTGTTAGAAATGTAGCGTGAGTATAGAAAAAGACGATTATCAATGTAAGTTCTCGTGAAATTATAGATAAAACAAAGTGCAGAAAACTTTGTTGTTTCTTGTTTATGGAATTTAGACATGCTGACGTTAGACGTGTAACTCGTCCAACTATGTAATATGTTTATTCATCGTTTTGCTTCGTCTTGTGAAATTTCTTTTTTATCGCGATTTGCAAGTGAAAACGCGAAAAGAAAAGAGAATCGTACTTGACGGCGTGAGTGGTTCGCGAACACGCAAGCGTGGTTTTTTTCGGCGAGGAGTCGTAGGGGAAATATTACTAGTAAAATTTCTTTATGGCAATGCTTACTTTTTATTGAATCCGAAGGTTTATTGGACCGTGACAACCGGCTAACAATGTAACCGATTACAAACAGCACACCGCCAAGAAACAGCGTGCTCACGAGCACGATCACGGACATGCTGATTCTCGGCGTGATTTTCCCTTCTGTATCCTCCATCTTCACCGTTTAATTAAGCCACAGCACTTTGTTTTTTATTTCACCGCACTTTCGACGCACGCTTGATTCAATATAGGTCCGTTAAAAATCAACGTAAAATACAAGCACGAGACGCGAGACTGGAACACACACACGAACCGCGTGTTCCAAAAAACATGAGATATCATGCAACGATCGCGGCCAGTGCGTCAACTCCACGGCAAACCTGAACTATTCGCTTTATAGATGGAATGCTCGAGCTCGATCATTGGCACGTCTTTATCCACGAACCAGAGGAATCGTAGAAACGAAACTTCACCAGATATTTCCAACAGTTTCTATTTCTTATTATCGACACCGATCATCTTTCCATCTTATTTTTACGCGATTTTCTTTTGTATTTTCCGTATAAAGTATATATTATAGGCGAATAAAATTCGTTGAAATGAAACAAAAATGATTTTCTACATCCGCAACAGCTTAGAAAGATCTCGTTTCGTAGTGCAAATTTTATAATCGTAGGTCGAACATGACTCGTAGAGACACACAGCAACTTGAAAGAATAACGTTCGCATTCCTTGATCCCCCACTTCGATTTTTTTTCTTGGCACCGTTGCGAGATTTGTCTACTTAGATGACAAAGTTACCACTTCAAATCGTTTCTAGGTCACCGTCACGTTCCTCACCAAGCTCGTATTTTATGTGTGACACATTGTATCATTTAAATTTCGTTCTTGTCAATATTGCTTTTATAAGAATTATCGCTTGGTGAACTTAATGTTTAATAATTACCCAACACTGGCCGCGGTTTATGTCATCGATTTAAAATGGGAATAGAACACGTAACTGGCAATCGAGTGACCCAAGAACCGGCTACTCTATTTCGTATTCGTAAGAAGAAACGAAAGAGTGCCGAAACTTCCGTGAAAGTGTCTTTCGTGATTTGTGTTTACGCAGTTTTAATAGGTTGTCACCAATTTGAATTTCTTGAAGTAATACTCACGACGTTATTGAATAAGATGTGCATGCAGTTTACCCAAAGTAATTAATGTTACCGCGCAACTTATGTAAGCCATTTAGGTGATCGCATGCTCTGGCGGTACACTCGTAAATCAGACGGAATCATCGCGAAGGAGACACGTTAGGAGTTTGATCAGTGAACGTAATGCTCGTAAGAGCTCGAAGCGCGTGTTTGCCGGAACATGTCAATAGTGCCGGTATATACGCGATGGTAACCTAGCTGCCTCGCGTTTAACTCGCTCTCTTCGAAGATTCCCCACCATTTCAAACCCCCACAAAGGTAGTTGTGTTCTCCCACCGAAACGGAAGTTGCACTTGCGCGATCGAATACTTCGATGTCTGGCGGGTAAGGAACCGCGCTCCGGCGATTAACATTCGAGTGGTCGATACGATTCATTATATCAATGATATACGAAATCCGAAATCAAATTAATTTTTGATAACTTCACTTTTCTCAAATTTTTCAATTGCATTACCCAGGAAATATAATTAACCTCCAGTTTCAAGAAACAAATGGTTTATTTCCACACATTCACTTATCACAAGGAAATATTATAAATAACAATGAATTTCAGGGAAGATTAAAAAAGATGGTGTTTGTGACATAATTTTGTTTTATTTTCTAACTTATGTAATTGATCAATATGACTTCTGGCTATATGTGTAAATCTTTTAATATTGAGATTGTAATAGTTTATAATTCTATTTAAAAGTTTTAATCGTCACATTATCGTAAACAGAGAAAACATTAAAGCATAAGCACTTATTAACATTGGTATGTAATTGATATACATCAAAAAGAGGGAACAAAAATTTTATCCATTTTTATATTTTAATAAAACAACAAAAGGTATAATGTTGCAAGAAGATATTCGTAACAAACGTGAATATTTCAATTTTTGCTAATGTTCTCGTTTATTAATATTGTTTTCACTCCTTCAGATTACATTTAGGAACAATGTTGTAGATTAAGTTCCGAGTTCAGCTCTCTTTCTTCTTTTAAGAAAATAATCAGAGGTCACAATAAAAATGTATCTTATCTTAAATGTGATGGGTAACGGGATTCCGGAAATTCTATTACATCAACTCGTTCATACAGATTGTAGTGTCACAAATTTCTTGGAATAAAGTAACAGTGTTCTCGGAAACTCAATGACTATTTCGTTTTCTCTGGCGTAGACATATTTAAGATTCTAGGGAAGACGTACAACGTCATCGCTAACGATACCAAGGAAAGATAGCGTCAAGCTTGTTTATCGAAAGCAAGGCCACTAAAAATTCGCCGAACAAAAATGAAAATATTGTGGAACAAATCGATATCTATCTTGTTTACGATCTCATGTAAATCGTCTGTCCGTCTGCAAACCGGTAATAGATGTGAACACTGAGACAAATGTGCATTATTAATATGCATTCGATCGTGAAGTTACATGATCCACTATAACCTAACAACTAGGCTTACAAATGTGCTCGTAACGGCAAGATGCGTTAAATTCAACCCGTTATTCGCCCCGTTACTTTTCCTCATTTCAATCGTCTTCGTCCTCGATTTGACTCTCTCACGTGCAAGCCTCGCCATCATGCTTCATGTATAAACAGAACCTCCAATCATATACAAGGTGTTCATTTTTATCAATCTATTTGTATATTTAAGAAAATAACAACGATACTGAAAATAACAAGAAAAATACGTGTTTATAGATTTTCTAAGAAACGTTGCATTTTCAAGAAGGAGATAAAATTTAAATTACTTTAGTTTACTTACTTCTCTGTACTTTTCTGGAATTAAAAAAGGTTCTGTATGATGTAGGAATCGTCACGTATGTAAAGTTCCTATCCTATTTCTTGTTATATTTTATCAAATGCATGTCAAATTTGAAAAAAATTCACATCGTTAATGCGTTTCAAGATTCAGGTCTTAACAACGATTCCACATTTTTATTCTTTTAGAACCTTTGATATTGAACTGCTGCGCAATAATCAATGAATGTTTTGTTGCTCGTTTGATAAGTGAAGAGTGGTATAAACTCGAATCGGTTGAAATTTTTCTCGCGCACGCGCTGTATCTACGCCACTTCCTCGACTTCGTTTCCCGCGTCGATTCTGCAGCTTCTTGTTTCTCACTTCACGAATACATATTTTGTTGGGTCCCTGGGTTCGGGCCAACGAACCCTCACTCGAGTTTAAAAGTCGTTTGCCCTAAAGAATTTGGTTGACTCGAATAAACTCCGATTAATTAAGGAAAATTGGAGCTAACAATGGAACATAACGAACTATTTCTGGTGCAATACGCCTATCGAGCGAAAAGGAAAAAGCACGTGTATCAGAGGAATTGAGGGACAAAATACAAACATTTTCCTGCTACAAATGGGTACCGCAAGATCGATGCTGCTACGGAATGTCCGTTGGATTACTTCCTTGGTTAGTCATGTTACGTACTTTGTAAAGACAACGAAGTGTTTGATAACATGTTTATCTAAGGATCAGCGGAAAGGTCAAATATGATTTGGAAGCATGGATCGATTAAAATTAAAGATCAAGGATAAATGTTTCTCGATCGATAAAAATTGCATGAGATCAATATTTTATCAAATCTGTTAATAATAAATCATTTTTATCCATCAAAGGCAGTCTAGCAAAATGAACGTTGATAAAAATAACCAAAATATGTACACCATCGAAACAGGAAACAGGTTAGAAATGATTAATAGATTCGTAGCTATCATCTGTCTCTGTTTTTATTAAAAACACAGCGAGTTCGTTGGAGGAATCGACAAATTTTGAGTATACGTTGCGCATCGATGAAATAATTGCGATCTGTGTATTAGGTTAGGTACGCTTCTTATTAGCACCGATAACGTTCGTCACATGCGCGTCCCGCGCGTAAGGTATATTATCCATGTTGCCGCTTGTTCCTGAGATAAATTCGGTGTATATGGATCTTTAGCTGTATAGACGCTAAAATTACATAACGAAATCACTACCAGCAGTTTCTACGCGTTTCTATTTAAGGATATCAGTTCCAACGTACCGAAGTTAATTAATATTCGTTTCGAAGTAGAAACGTGTTCCAGAGTTACTTCGAATATGAAATAAAAATGAAATGCATCTTTCTGTGAATCGAACGCGAGGATTTTAAATGCAGATATCTTCGTCCAAGTTATTATGCTTTCGCTGACTCGGTGGATTTTCCTGTTAAGCATGTATTTGCACTTCGAATGAATTTTCGCGCGAACATCACTTGGAAAATGGAATTCCGTGCTTGATCGATACGTAACGTAATATTTTCCTGTTCGTTTGCTGTTATGCGTAGTAGTTGAATGAATTGCCTGCTCCAACACGATCGTCAGCATGGCTTAGAAAATAGCAATCGGGAAACGATAGTATTATTTTATTGAATGACACGCTTAATTTAACCGTTAGCTAATGAAGGGGAGTCTTATTTCAAAAGAAGCTTCTATTAAAAGCTTCTATTATCTGATCTGCGGTATGGATCATTTATCTGAAATTTTTCGATATTTCGACTTTTCACTTTACTGTCAATCGACCGTCGAATTTTTTACGTATCAATGATCTAGCACACAGTGAGTTTTTAATATATGACAATGATAATCAGTGATCGTTATCTAAATGTTCTTAAGATGAAGTATCTGATTTAAGTCATCAGTGTTCTGAGAAAATGTGCAAAGGTCAGGTGAAAAGTAGAAGAATTTCAAACGAAATGTTTATAGTTCGCTTTGAAGCTTCGTAACATACGCATTTTTTTTATCAATGAGACTAGACTCATTTCTGTAGTGATAAATTTAATTGTTGAAGGAAATGGAAGAAAGTGCGTACAAATGTGTGACCTGTTTGACCCACTTTTCTTATAAAAACTGTTATTTCATTTCGTTCTTATGTAAGTGACTCAATTATTATTCCTAATAATTAATTTGTACTCTATTATCTTAGGAATGAGAAAAATGCATAAATCTAGATAATTGGCAATCATAAAGATGAAGTAAGTCATATGTTCTTGTTTTTGCTAGTTACATCGTCGGAAGGGTAATATCACAATGCAAAATAGAATAATACCTACACATTTATTAGAAATTTGTTACTTGTTTGATTTATTAAAGATTTCCAAGATTTAAAGACTGCCAAGTAAATAAAAGCTCAAATTATAAAAAAGAAAAATATTTCCATCGATAAGTAGCCGAATTTATACGTCTATAATTTCTATTTCAAACCGATTTCCTGAAAAAATATACTTTTCGTAATTGTATCACTCTTCTAATAAACTAACATATGTACAAACTAATTATTAGTAATAAAGTAACACCCTGTATGCACGCCATGATCTCTAGTACCTGAACTTTGAAATTGGCACAACGCCATGAAAGAAGTGCGCAATTCCGCGACGGGATTGCCACGCGTATGCGTTACCGGGAAGAATAATTTTGGTCCGTTGCGACGCAAGGGCGATGCTGCGTCAAACAAATTTCGAAGAAATAAAACCAAAAAGTATAGACAGTAACAAAGGAAACAAAAGTCTCCAGTAAAAAATATAGGCAACTGGAAACGTTTCCATAGGCAACTATAATTCCGTCTATCAACATCGAACGACCGGCACGCGTGATCCAAACACGTCGTTTGACGTGTGCGATTTAAATTCGATATCCCTCGAACGAATCAGATACGACGCGGCGCGGCGCGGCGCCCATTTTCTTCTCATCGACTCTTTATTTAACTTCGTTCTTTTCTTCTCTCTCTCTCTCTCTTTTTCATCGCGCAAATTGCGAATCACGAAGCTAATGTTTGTCACCAGTCTCTCTCGTTATCGCTGTCGCATTAGACCAGCTTGATATTTCATCGTCACCAACAGATATTACGTCAGCTTTCTCTAAGTAAATTTTAAGATATAATTTAGTCATATACAATAGAATTCCGTTTATCTGTAATTCGTTGAAGAAGTTAATGTTCAATCTCAAATATATGATTTCATAGCTGAGCTTTTATTGTTTCATCTTTAATCGAACAGCATACACGAACGCGTATTCTTGTAGCATAAACATATATGTATAGAGCCGTTTGTTTGTGTTCAGAATACGAGATGCAGAGGGTGACTTAACTAAACGCACAGGCATGTCGATTTAACTTTTCTAAACGTTAACTTCTATTATTAGAACCAATAAAAACAGGTGGAGCTAGTGAACCTCTATTACTATCTATATCTATAACTATCGCGTCCTCCGCTATATTTGACCAAACGGTGAACTACTGTACAGGAAGATTGTCGCTATAACTATGACATGACATTTTGTTTGGGACTACTTTGACACTTTTCATCACGCACGTGTTTCACAACAACCAAAACAATAACAATTACTCACCATGCTTGCCTGATAGACGATCCTCCTTAATCTTTTGTGAATCTTCTATGACAAAACAGATGGTCATTCCTTCCTGGAAAATATTTTACGCCGTTTCTTTTATTCGTTCCTTCAGTCTTTTTATCAAAAACGGTCGTTTGCCTCGGTGGGGGAGAATGTTGTTGAATTGAGGCATCGGTCGCGCTTCTTTGTCTGAACACTGAGCCGGATATCGTACCGCAAACAAACAGGAAAGGTCACATGCGTGAGATCTATGTGTCAAGAAAACGCGATGACAAAAATGGTCGTAGTAGCACCGCAGAAAACTGAAAAAAGGGAAGGGCGTATATACGTGGTGCGTAATCTATCGCGGCCAACTCGTGGCATCGTGTACACTGAGTCATGTGCAACGTGTTCCCGCCGGTTTATGAAGAGTTTCGTTCAGCTGATGTGCGCATGGTCGGTGAATGCACTCAACAGTTGCAGCCAACGCGTGCCTATATTGACACGTGTTGCACGACGATAACAACCCGATAACACTGTACCACAGACGCAGAAACTGGCCAAGATCATCGCGCTCCGTTCGAAACTCCTTTCCCACGTTTATACTAACTTAGTTTCTTTCTATGATATTTTTACTGAGTCATTTTCATTCTTTCTTGTTTGCATAGCGATAAGATCTGCTAGCTTTGTTCGGAATACGTACCAGCACTCTTAAAAATTATTGACAAAATTGATGTTCTTAATAACAAACACAGTTTTAAATGTTTTGAGTTTTGAATAAAATATTTGATATTAAATATATTTGCAAATATTAAATATTATTGTAAATATAGTATTACATCTTTTGATAATGTAAACCGTTTATATTAATGGCGATCAAAAATTAAAAATTAAGAAACGAAATGAATTTATTGTCATTTCAGTTTTGGGAAAATTTTCTTCGTTTATCTTTGTTTTTTATTGGAATTGAATTTGTGTCCATGCACAATAGTTATTTTGTGTTAAATAGATGTTTCTAAATATAATCTTACAAATTTCTCTAACATACGTAAATGTGTATTAGGATATATGTATAGTTACTTACGTTGCAATTGCGCAAATATTGACATACATACATACTTGTTGTAATAATATTTTTGTTCTAAATATTAGCGGGGAATAAAATTTTTGAAAACCAAAAACGAATTAAATTATCTGATAATGCAATAACGATAATATACACAAGAATTAATTTCTGTAAATACTATAAACATCTAAGTCATTTAAGAATTAAGTAAAAAGATTTGAATACAAAATTTGAATACAATAGAAAATCACTAAAAGAATTAACAATGACCTAATAAATTAGGAAAAATAATTAAGAAGATTATTATGATTTTAAATTTGTATTCAAGACACGAAACGCACATTCAATCAACCTTTAAGTCTCGTTGTTTAACAGTTACTTATTGAATCTCATTTGTACTCTTTGTTGGTTTAGTATTTTACAAAGAATACAAATTACTGTTTATTGTTTTGCTACATTTTTGATTTTTTGTATAGATTGCGACAATCGAGATTATGGCGCACTCTAGCAGAATTCTTGTAGAATACGATTGCTTTGTCAAGCAATTTCAAAGGATTGAAATAAGCAAACAAACGAAAGAAAATACGTATACACTCAGTAAGTTTTGCAATTATAAATCATTAAATTACTATTTATACCTGATAATATATATAATTTTCTGCATACTTCAGAATGTAATTAGAAACAATGATGACTGGTTTCTAATATACTATTAAAAACTAATTATATCAAGATGATTTAATCATTTTTATCGTTTGATTTAGTCTATTTAAAAATAATATATTTCGAATAAATTAAAAAGCAAAATTATGTATGGTAGAAGAAAAACTATCCAGAGAAATGAAAGACGAGGTCGAGCTTCGCCGTCTCCAATTTCACCAGTACAGCAAAAGAGGTCAGTCTCGTATTTGAGAAAAATATCCATCGTCCGAATTATATAATACATATTTGATTTACATAACTCCGGAAATAGGCAATTTGGAGAAATAGATATTCTATTAGTAATTACTAATTCATTTTACTGCATATATTTCAGTGATAAACATAGTTATATATACTTATATGTATATTCATTTTATAAAAAAGCTTTAAGTAGGACATTTTACATAAAATCATGCAATAGTACTTCATGAAGTTGTAATATACTTGCATGGAGATTCGTTAGTCTTTTATTTTTAAGTAAAAGTATTTTAAAAAATAAGACATTTTTACATTTTACAATACAAGATTAATATTTCTTTAATTAATATTCAATTTTTAATTCATATGTATGTGTATATATGTGAATCCTATGAATATGGTCTATTCAATAACTATATATATTAAACATTATAGCCAACATCATGGTTTGAATATTATATTGTAAAATATTAGCTTGTAATATATAATACAATGTTTGTGTATAATTAATATAAAAATATATAAAATATATCAAATGTTTTATTAAAATGTTATTCGGATTTACCATTTAGGATTTATTATACATTTCTTGTTAATTTCGAAATGAACTGAAGTTCGCTACATTTCTGATAGCGTACTTCCTGTTTTATTTCTGGAAAGCTCGATAGCTACATTTAAGCCTGCGCAGTTTCACTAACTTGCGTAACAGAAAATCATTAAAGATTTCATTGCAGTATCAGATTAAGCTCCTAAGAGTACGAACGTGTATTGTGTTATACGAAATTTAGTGTGCAAAAACGCAAAAACATGCCACGACGTGGACGAGCAGCAAATCCTCCTCCGAGGACGTGAGTATTTTTTCTTTTTTAATCATATTTGTACGTGTAATTTTTCATAAACTGTCTTTGAATGTTTAATAATTCGTCGAATGTAACGGAATCACGTTTATCATAATGAAGTTACGTGGTTCTTGAATTACTTTCGTAAGCATGTGCAACCATACAATAAAAGCAATTTTATTTATAATTTAGGGTTAGACGAGCCTCAGCTCCTGTTGCAACCGCTCCAGCACATCCTCCTGCATCAACACCAATGGTAGCTCAACCTCAACAGCCATCCCTCATGGGACAAATGGCTGCTACTGCTGGAGGTGTGGCAATTGGTTCTGCTGTTGGTCATACTATTGGACACGCAGTGACTGGCCTCTTCAGTGGAGGTTCCAGTGAGGCCGCTGCTGCACCAGTAGGTGTAGCACCTGCTGCAGTACAAAGTGCACCAGTTTCTGCACCTGCTGGTGGTGCTTGCGCTTGGGAAGTTAAACAATTCTTAGAATGTGCCCAAAATCAATCAGATCTTTCATTGTGCGAAGGCTTTAATGAGGCTCTTCGTCAGTGCAAGGCATCTAACAGTAAGTTCTAAATAATATTTTTCTATATATGTTTCATAATATAGCGTGAACCAATTGCCCACTATTAAATTTGTTTTTTAATTTCAGATTTAATTTAAACAAGGCATTCAGGTAATAGCAGGAAGATAGGCAATATTAATGAAATTAGTAGATCTCATAAAAATTTGGCTTCTGTATTTACCATGAACTAGAATTATTTTAATCACTGCTTATATAAATTGGTTAAAATGTATACATGTATGCAAGTGAAATAAATTAAAATAAATTTGATTCCTGTTTATATAATTGTTATTCATTTTGATTGAACCTTTTTCTGTATATATATGTGATAAAGTAATAATTTTAAAGATAAGACAAAAAATGTAAAATAAAACATTAATTTTTACATGATGTACATATAACACAATCATATTAGAAAATAATTTTCTTTAGATTTTTGTAATTTAAATTATATATATATATAGATTTAAGGCAAAAGCTTCATCATCCCAATTATGGACAAATAACAATAATCAATCCTTTGCTTTTCAATCTGCTGCTAGTACAGCAGCTGAAGTTGCAGCTGGCCCTGTTATGGTAAGTACTAATATTATTGCTTACTTTTTTCCTTTAGAAATTAATAATTAATCACTTCAAATTAAATTAATGATTCATACAAGGGTCAAGCAATCGAAAGCGCACTTGCTAGCAATGTAGGACATGAATCTCCTGCTAAAGCCGTTCTTAACAATAATTCTACAAACACACAAGAATTATGTATTTCCGAAATACGAGAATTCTTCGAATGCGCTTCAAGAAGTGAAGGTCTGGATACATGCAAAGCTTATCATGATACATGGATGAAATGTCAGAATGTATACAAACAACAAAATTAATTGATCAGATGAAATGATACATTAAAGAGAATAACATTATAAATAAGAAGCTCTGATCCTCGTAATGAAGTAATCAAGGACATATAAGAAATTAATGATTTAAGAACATTGTTTATTAACTTAACGCGTTTCTCAAAGACGGCTTTATACTCGACCAAAAGAGGCAGTTAAATGTGCAAGAAAAGGAATATGGTAGACTATCTTTTCTCTGTATTTAAGACGCGCATCACCACAAAACCTGCGACGGTAGCAACCGCAATTCCAAGACCGGCTTTCCACCAGACCATCGAATCCCCTTGTAATAATCCAAATTGATTTATATGTCTGAAAAATCAAGAATTATTTATCATAATAATCACTTAAAATTCTATGAATTCTCCAGTATGAAAAAATTCATATATATGCATTATTTCACAATATAAAATGTTTGTATATATACATTAGTTCACAATGTAAACATAACATACTATCCTACAATAAAACTGCTAGTTCTTTATATTTGAATTTTATCACAATTTGACACATAATTAAAAAAAATAAGTTTGAATTTGTAGATATGTGTATAATGTAAACAATCAAAACAAGATATAAAGATCAATCATGTCTCATGCTCATGCAAAAGAATATCGATATCATATTTGTATTGTAAGTCGTGAGCACTCCGTGAAATTAACAGAAACTTATAATACAAACAAAAACCTTGTAAAAGAACTCCACCACTGAGTGGGTGAGGGTTTGACAAGCAACATGTGGACCATTCGCCTCAAAGGACTGAAAAGATTTAAGACCTTGTTATGATAGTCTTAAACATGCGACACCCTTTAATGTGAGCAAATCGCCTAGCACATTTGAAGAATATATGTTTGTGTATACGTGCAATGACATATAAATGAAAAAAGAAATGTGATTCACGATTTGCTCAAGCTTACAATGCTTACGGTGTTGCAAAAATTCAGACCAACCTGTCTCTGTAAAATAATACCCATGCTCCTTGAAAGCGGCTAAACATGAAATCTTTTTGTTAGTGTTTAATAATAATTCAGTTTAAAGGATATACTAAAATACACTTTCTTAAAAATGGTAAGGTATACTGAATAAAAGATATCGAATAGTATCAAACAAATACGTCACAGTTTTACGATATTTTCTTTACGACGAAATAAAATTATTTTTTAAAACAACAACATTTTAGGAGCGTTTATTATACAAAATATTTCTACTTAATAATTGATGTTTTAAAAAATTGAACTTACGGGAAAGCTGCCATTGTCGCTAGTTTAACGAAGATTTCACGTCGTATTGTACGGGAGATGCTGTATGGTTGCGGTGGCATCAGTTTGTACTTATTGCAAAAACTTATTGGCTGTAGCAAGTAATCTTGCTTTACTTCAGACAGATCACTCTTATTTGCTATTATGAGAACAGGGATCTTACTATCTGCAAAATATTTCTGGAAAAGATGCTGAATTTAATTGCAAAT